GCAGCCGCGCCGCGCGGCCGCCTCTCATGACAGGTTGCCTGGAAGTGGTTGTTTGACTTTAGTTTGACTGGATGGGATGGCGCCGGGCGGGGCGGGGCGGGGCGCGTAGGCCGGGGCAGGGCAGGACGGGACGGGACGCCGGGGACGAGGCGAAAGTTGGTTTTAGTTTTTGAACACATCCGTACTCCAAGACCGAACGCTGCTATACGCTTGTGGCTCCCCGCCTTTCCAATGCGGCAAATGATGGAAATAAATGGTGTGTCATCGCTTTTCCTGCCTGTTCGAGTAGGCAGGCACAGTGCACACACAGATTACGAGCCTCTGTCTCTCTGTCTCTCTCTCTTCTTTCTCTCTCTCTCTCTCTCTCTCTCTCTCTCTCTCTCTCTCTCTCTCTCTCTCGCACTGCAGAGACACGCGATGAGACTGCACTACGCATTACCCAGCTGTGTCCTTGTGCGTCCTTTTATCAAAAAGGTGCAATCAAATGATCAGTTTTGTTTCTGTCTCTACTATTGGGGGGCTTAGGGGAGAGAGGCATAGGCAAACCCGCCCGGCACTCCTGCGTGCTGTTCAGTATACCTGCGGGGTTGAGCAGGGTTAATCATCTATCTATCTAGTGTACGTCTGCCTTTCCCGACTGTCCCAATACTTTCTGGTGCTAGTCTTTCTATCGAACAGTGTGTACGACGTGGGGTGGGGGTAGGGCGCGCAGAAAGGCTCGGCCTGGACTGATTTGAATAGAGGTGGCCCGTTGGTCCGCTCCGGTAGCGCGACCCTCTGCCGGCCGTGCCGGCATTTTCATAGAAGGGCAGGCAGCTGCAGCTGCTGCCCCGCGCTGTCGCCCGTTTAGATGATGGAGGGGTGCAGCCAAAGCGAAGACTTCGCCCGCGAGGGCAGAGTCAGTCCTCCAGTGGCCCAAAGGGCACCCGGCGCGCGCCTGCCCCTGCCCCTGCCGCCTGCCTGCCCTCTGTGTCCGATCGAGTCAAATTGGAACGGTTCGGGTGAAGCCGACTCGGGCCATATACGAGCATTTCAGCACTTCTGGGAAGCGGCCCCCTCCCCGCCGCTCCGCTCCGTTCCATTCCCCCACCAGCACGCCTCCTCCAGCACGCTTCCAGCACCCTTGCCACCACGTTTACTCCCGGCGTCCACATTTCCAGTTGGTTTTCCATAGGGCCCGCCCTCCCACCAGATTTCCAGACCCTCTCTCCCCAGGCCTCCAGCCGCATTTCCAGCCTTCCGGGACCTGCATGCTGCCCCACTCGGTCTCCATATCTCCAGGCCCCTTTCTACCATGCGTGCTCCAGGCGGAGTGGAGTATCTCTTCCTCGCCGAGCTGAGCCGTGCGCCGGGCTTCGGGGAAAAGGCGCGACGATCGATGGCTGTTATACGAAACGTCTTTCATAGGACACAACAGGCCCGGCTTGACGTGCCTCAGACATTCAACAGGCCATAGGGGGCGGGGAGGGGGCGGGGCGCTGGAGTTAGGCCCGGTGAGTGGTCCCTGCACGAGGAGCGGGCACGCCAGCGCGCCATAGCAAACCTTCCGAACCAGGCGGAGTCTGTTTACCCACCGTTTTCCTGGAAACCTTCTAGTTTCCCTCCGGGGCAAAATGGGGCCAATTCAATTAGCGCGCATGTTGACAAAAGCGTAACCCTAATAAGCCCCCGAGGTTCCTGCGGCGAACAGGGCAGAGACGTGCCCTTAGTGGGGCCAAAGGGCGTGACGTTATTCGCGGTAAGGTCAAATTTCCCTGTTTGCCGCGACGCGCCCCCCCTCCACCTTGTTAACGGTTCGCGCAAACGCGAGGCCGACCGAACGACCGAACGGCGGCCGACCCGTGGCGGCGCGGCGGCGCCAACTTCGTGGAATCACGGAGGAATCTGATTAGGCTTTGATAAAGGGAACTCTCCCCGCCTCCCCCCCCCCCTCC